ATTTTTTCCAAAATAGAATTTTGTAAAGATTCAATCGAAATTATATATTGTTTGCACCAAGGACACAGGCCAGAATCGGTTGACCGCACCACGCAAGAAAAACACACTCACTGCTGAGCCGTTATTGGACCTTTGGCCAATACTAGAGTGAAAGTCGAGCCTTGTGATTTTCAGCTCGTATCACTTGGGGTGAAACTCCATCTGAGATCCAGTGCAAGTTGTGAATTTGAATCACAAATTGACCAGGTACCAAAAACAAACAGAAGAGACGGGCCTAAGGTGTTGCTGCTTTGAAACATGCCTTGCACCGGCAAAGTCGCGTCTTGGCACATGAGCCAGGACTCTACCATCGAAACAGTTGCTGCACTGTCGCCTTGCGCAAGCACTGTCCAGCTTTCTAGCTGGTACACCCTCTATTTCCCTTCAGCTTCAAATTTGGGGGACATCAAAATGATTGGCAAATCGCCCGCTTGAAGCAAGACTGCAACTTTGAGCTTCTCATAGCTACGACATTTCTAGAATGCAGTGTCTTGATGGTTTGTCTGGTTGGAATTGGTAGCAACGAACTGTCTTACCTATGCATTGTCCGCCAGTGTCTTTCCAACTCGAAAAATTTGGAAGCAACCTGAATCAGCCAAAAAATCATCAAACACGAGGATTTGACCAACCAAAATCATAATGCACATTGATTCACATTGATTCAACACACTGACCATGAAAATGGTCATGTTTACATAATTTTTCTAGATTTCTGGATGTTTTCCCTGGCCACGCGACACACATCTCTCCTGCCTTCCACTCCGCTAGAAATCTGCATCCCAACCAGGAGCTGGGTCCTGTGGGACAAAAACCGCAGTTACAAATGGTAAAACTGTTGGAAACATGTTATCCAAAATGGGCTATGTTACATTATATTATATCATATAATATCATATTATATTCTATCATATTATTATACATTATGTAATGTAATGTAATGTTATGTTTTGTTATTATTTTGTTCTATTTGATGGCGCTTGGACCTGATAGGATCTGATAGGTCTTAGTGGCACTCCGTAGCTCCGCAAAAATATGCACAAATTCGAATAAACCCAGGCAAAACAAAAGAGTAGTTGATTAATACTCTTGCCTGTGTTCTGCGTTGTACTGTGTGAGCAATCAGCCCTAGTGGCCCTAGCACTCCTGAGCAAACAGAATTCCCACTTGACCTAAAGCATTCCATTATGATAGAACTGATAGAACTAATAGAACTGATAGAACCTCAAACATGTATGATGAGGACCTGTCTGGGTTCCCAAATTATATATATGTATCGTGCCTGTATATGTTTGCCGTAAAACTATGTCACGTCTGCAGTCTGTTCGGAAGGCCTGCCATGGCTCTTCTTGCGAAGCGCAGCGTGCCTGAAGCAAAAACCAGTGCTGTTTGGAACATGGGGCTCTACATGACAGAATGCCAAAATGTGGCAAGAAACTCAAGATGTGTAGCAATGGGTGTTGCAACTTTGATTTGTTTGAGCGTCAAATCGGTTGGAGACTCTTCCCTTCACCCGTCCGCATGTTAACCTTTGGCTCCCAGCCTCCTCTTCTTCCACCGTGGGCAAGTAATCGTCTGCGGCAGGCAGTGTTGGCTTTTCTTTGTCCTCGCGCTAGCGCTCAGTTTCCAAACAAGCATTTGGTATCAAGCATTCTTAAGCCATACAGTCAAGAAGACTCGCAAACAAGGTTGATAGAGTAACTGTGCACGTGATGACCCACACTATCCACAAATATGCTGTTTTTGCCGACAATTTTGCGCTGCGCCCAGCCCGTCCTCCGCGTACGTTTCACTCTTTGGGACGAAAGGAGGCACAAGCTCTCGCCCCAGTAGCCTCTCCCAGCCTCAGAAGTCAGAGAAATCGTAGCAGGTTTGATCATGCTAGCACCAATTCCTTATTGCATCGTGCAACAGGCAATGATATGTGATGATACGTGCCGATGCTGATGACGATGACGATAAGGATGAGGATGATGACGATGAGGACGATGACGATGACGATGACGATGACGATGAGGACGATGAGGACGATGAGGACGATGACGATGATGGTGATGATGATGGTGATGATGATGCTGCTGGTGATGATGGTGATGGTGATGATGATGATGATGAAGAAGCTGCTGCTGATGACGTCCGACAATAATATATGAATAATCTTGTATAATTATATATATATAAATACAGTATCACTTTCCGCTGTACGTCCGCCTTTGTTGGCAATTGGGCGGAATTGGAACAGGTCTGGTGTTTCACCTCACGATTTCACTGCCATTCAATGAACTGATCTACTTGCAGTTCACAAGTCGTTACCACTCTTTACTATGCAAATGCAAGAATCAACTTAAGATGCCTATCATGGCTTCCTGACAAATTGATCAAGACAAAGAAATGGCCGTGAATCCGAACATCCACATTAAGCAACCCAAAGCCCCAAAGCAACCCGATAAATTGAGGCAAAAGCAAAGGTCCCGGAAGAAGGCATGCTTCTTTAGCTTGGCATAGCCTGCACAAATACCAGGAAGGTTCTGCAGTTTCACCCCAGGTTTCCCCATCATTTTTTCTCCGACAGTTTCATGCCATGAGGGTCTTCCATTCTTTGCGCGACTGGCCAGGACCAGCATGGCCAGCCTTCATGCCCTGCTCCAAGGCGTTTCTTCGGGTCTCTGGTCAGCAAGCCACGAATGAGGCCTGCAGTGGCTGTGACAGCTCACCCAGTGCACTTACGAACCCACTTGTGAAAAATAGTGAAAAATATTGGTATTTCAATGTATTTCATACATCTATGCATACCTACGCTACGTATCTGGTGAACCTGATCTGTTTTGACAATGATCGCCCAGTAGATCACTGCCAGTGGCGTGATGCAGGATCTTGACCATAAGTATCTGGCTCATGATGTCATCTGCCGAAGGTTGCTTTTCAAACCTGGCGGAAGTGGCTGCATTTGCCACTGGCCAACCGGCCCACCCAGGTGGAACAGGCTGGCAGCCAAAGCATGTCGGCAAGGCCACTGCGGGAACTTCAGCTCTGCACGCAAGATCTCATGGAAGATCCTCAGTTTTGGAGAATCCTAGGAGTATGAGTCGTATGAATAACGAGTATTCACAATTTTGAGGCCCAGAGACCATGGTTGGTTTTCTTTTTTATATAATCTCCAAACTAAACATATATAAAATTATATAAGATCAGCAGCCTGCGAAGTGGAGCCTCACTGAGTTCCCGGACGCGCCATGGTTGGAGCAGTTGCTTGCGAATGGGAAATTGCCGATGACCTCGGACAAAGCACTCAATGCTACGACTATGAGAGATGGGGAGAGAATAGGATATGGGATATGATGGGATATGATGGGATATGATGGGATATGATGGGATATGATGGGATGTCACAGGATAGCACGGGATGTTATGGGATAGAATGGAACACAAAACCAATCAATACGAGTACCAGTTATCTTTCAATGGTGCAACATTGGTGCAACCATCTTTGTTTTAATGTAATGCCTTCGTCAAGGACGCTTGGCCCAAACAAACCAGCAATCAAACCAGCAATCAACCGCTCTGGCGGATGTTAAAAAAATGAACAAACATCACCCAATAATACCATATGATACCCAGTAAATCAGGAAATCCCACGCAATCATGGCATCTCATGGCACTCTCCGCTCAAGCTCCCGGCGAATTCGTAGAGGCAAATTCCCAGGCTCCAAAGATCTGCAACCGTCGTATGACCCTGCAATCGACGAGCTGATGGGCGGCATCTTTGGTGCTCCACCGTAAGTGGACAAGGTGCAACTTCAGGGCCATGTGCGGCATTCAAACGCGTCTACGTTTTCCAATGTTTTCCAAGATTCATAGGTTGTACATCTACATCCGTACTACATCCTGGATTGATATTGCATATGGCATATTGCATATGGATGCATATGGAATAGTGATAATAGTGGTCCACGTAGTCCACCAATGTGCCTTGCCCAGGATCATCTCAGGGGCCATGAACATTGGAGTGCCCTCGCGAGCATTAAAGTGATCTGACTGATCTGACTATCAAAAAATGACAAGACATACAAGAAAGTACTACGAACCTTGGGTGTCTCTGGGCGTCTTTGGGTCATACCACCTTTAGTGGGACTCGAAGGCAATGTCTTGTAGTCACACCTTCAGCGGGCCATAGCGGGTGTTGGTGATGCGACGGGCGATTCCGAAGTCGATGATCTTCAAGTAGCCCTGATGCAGTGGGATCCATTTCCATCCCTCTTGCGAGCGTTTGAATACCAATTGATTTGTGGTGATTTGTGTTGATTCATTGCAGTGCACAGTGAATCCAACTCCGTCACGCACCACGAACCACTGTAGACTTCTTTTATGAATGAATGAATGAATGAATTGAGACATACAACTTGCCAGCCGAAGCTGTGGTTAAGTAGCCATAAGAGCCTCAGAGGCTCTGGCAAAAATGGTAGACTTCTTTTACACAATTGAAACGCCACAGCGCGCGGCCACCTGCTGGTCAATGAGGCAGTTCTCACTCTTGAGATCCAGATATGCGATACCTCAAGGCTTCAACACACTGTGTATTCAGCTATGTTGAGCCAATTTGAATCATGGACTTGATTGAATCGGTTGGGCATCCTTGAGAAGCAGTACATGATCTGTTTCCAGCTGTCAAGTGTCCCTTGCACACCTGCAAATGACTTGTCTGGCAGGTCCCAACCGCTCCAAACATGAAACACGTGATCGCCGCATGGGTCAACGTCCATCAACTTAGATATGGAAAATTGATAAAGCTTTCCTTCTCGGAGAATACTGTCCTCTAGAATCCGGTAATTTTCCATGTCCATGAAAGTGGATGCTAGGGCACAGTATATATTTTAGAATTCATGAAGGAACTGGACGGTGCTTGCTGGGAATCTTGTATGATCGCATACCACAACAGCCTGCAGCGGTTCGACTCTGAGCGCAGAACGTCGTGCATGGAGAAATTCCAGTGCAAGAACAATCGACCCGGTGTAGAAGAGTGCCTGACCACACCAAGTAGCTTATTGCGATCCCGAGACACAGACCAAGGAACTGCCAGGTAGCAGACAGACTGACCAAAAAACATCATCACATTCGCCCACAAACATCTCGAATGTCCCCTTAAATATCCGGAATCCTATTATTTTTGTGATCGGGCAAATGGTGATCATGAGTGTTTTTCATGATTCTTCCATTAGTGTTTAATTTCCTATGGTATTTCCCATGAATTACCCATTTTCCGGTGCTATTCCCATGGAAAAATCACCCTTTTCGCCTGGTGGTCCTTGAGGAGTCCCAGGGAATCCAAGGCATCCAGGAGTTCGCCGCCGCTGACCAGCTCCATTAAGAAGTAGACCCGAGACCTGAAAGGGCCAGTGGATCACGGAATTATGTACATATTAAAAACAATATATATATATTGTATATATTATATACATACATATATATATATTGTATATATGATGATTATTATTATTCTTCCTATTATTATTGTTATTATTATTAAAATATATTGTGTATATATATATATATATATTCATATTCATGATCTTAAACTTGTATTGAATCAATTCAACACATGTATATGACACGTATTCTCAATGATTCTTGATGGCTGACTTGTTGAATATGATTGAACGACTACAGATCTTTTTGGATTTTCATTTTCTCAATATCAGCTCTCAGGGCAGCTCTCGTTCCGGAAGGAGCGAACGAATTTGATGATGAACGGGTGGTCTACCTGCCCATGACTGGCAGGCACAAACCCAGGATGTTGGCACATGAACACGGTCAAAGCATGGACTTTCAACATCTTTCGACACATTTGAAACATATATTCATATGTATATATTAGATTATATAATTATATATATATATATCAACCAGTACATACAATTACTAGATAGTCAGATAGTCAATCCGGGTTCTTCACTTAATCATGCAATTTCCATCTGAATCCATGGAATCCATCTCAGGGTGAACCAGGAACCAGGAACCTGACAGCTGGGCACCTCTTTCAGGATACTCAGCTCCGACACCAAGGCGTCTTGAACATTCTTCTCCACCACATCTCGCTTCCGCACACACTTCAAGGCATACCTGTACTTCCGGTTGTGCACAGGCCGCTATTCCAAGTGCTATTTCAAATGCACTACACTTGTTGTGGTTCTTCATGGTACTACCATGTATGCTGTGTATGTATATGTATGTGTATATATATATATATACAAAAAGGTATCTATATATCCATAGTGTAGTTGTGTGTTTCTGCTCTTCTTTTGGCGTCACCACCATGGCGATTGTCTTTGTCGGTCGTGATCACTCTTGCCATTGCCGTTTCAGCTGTTGCTGTTGCTGCCACCATCCTGGATCAAAAAAACACCACCAGACGGCGCCTGACTCCAGTCTTCTGGGCTCGAACCATCTTGACTATTCCAAACCCTCCGCGGCCAATGACGCGAACATACCTTGGGAAAACATGGAATCACGACATTTCACGACCCCGGAGGCATAAAACCGTTACTATACCGTTACTGTGCTTGGACCCTGCAGTAACATGGCCATGGCCATGGTTGCTGAGTGGCTCCAGGTCTGAGAAGGTCAAATTGGTGTCCTGCGATGGCAGTTTCTGTAAGAAGGTATTGATCGATGTATATTTTATATTAGCAATAATAATGATAGTAAGAGGAACACTACCAAACATACCACTATAATGATAGTAAGAGGAAAACTACCAAACATACTAATGACATCTAATGACAATATCTCACAAGGACAATAATGACAGCAGTGATGATAACGATAATCACGACTAATGACAATAGTAGCAACAATACTAGATAATTTGTGTGTACAGTACGTATCCCTGCCTGGTTCATTCAAAATCATGGTTTTGTTGAACCCTTCTGGCGCTCAAATGTTGATAGTTTGCTCGTGCACCAATTGACAGCTTTTCCCGTCCTGCAGGGAGATTCGATCTTTCAAGTAGTCCAAGCAAGGCCCTTGCCTGATCATTGCAAGGCTGCCCTGACAGAAATGCTGGAGGGGACGAATCAAGACAAATTTTGCCAGGACTCCATAATAGATATTGACAAATGCAATCACTTAGTATTATTTTCTCACATAATGTCCAAATATGTCCAATATCTCTATCCACTGCTATTCAGGCAACGGCAGCTGTGACATGCTGTGACTGGGATGCCAGGCATCATCTCTTGAAAGGTCTCTTTGCCCATCTTCCACAACTCTGTGTCCTGACACGACAGTGGATGAGTGGATGGATGACGAGGCAATACGATGCATTTCCAAGGATATGTCTTTTACAGAAGACTATAGGAATCTGTGCTATCTGTGCTGTAACGGCAGATTTGTGAAGCTCTGAACACCTTCCAGAGGCCTGCACTACAAGTACTATGATTCGCAGAGATCCAAAGCAATCCAACATCAATCTCTGCACCAACAAACACCTCTAAACACCTCTGGGTTGTTTGAGCTACAAACAATGGGCTTTGAACCAACAAAAACTTGCCATAAATCACAACAAATTCACGGTTTCATTTAATCAAAAGTGCACATCTCACAAGAAACTTGAAGATGTTTCCAACTTTTTCCATAAAATCGATGAAACTTGGTGATTTCCATAGGTTTCCATAGGTTTCCATAGGTTTTCTGTAGGTTTTTGCTTCATCCAATGGCCCAACACACAGCCTCCAGGGCCGCGATGCTGGCGCTCCGGATCTCGCTGCCCAGCAGTGCGCGGTCCCCGAAGTAGTCGGGCGCACCGAGCCTGTGGAAATTCATGGTGTTACCATGAAATCTAGGCTTTTACAATGGGTTTTAATGGCTTTTACATCATGAAATCTAGGCTTTTACAGTAATGTATAGTATATATATAACAAAGATTCATATAGTCTTTACCAGTATAATAAAAATTGTATCATAACATATATATATATACATACATACACAGTCTTTACCATTTGTAGGCTTTTGATTTCTTTTGATCATCTAAGTATGTTTAATCATAATTGTACATATAGACATATAGAGTTGTTACCATTATACATACATAGAATTTTCCTGTAAATAATATACAAACAAAAATTTTTCCTGTAAATATTACGGGTTATATTTATTTATTAACTATAGTTTGAACATAGGGATTTCCTGGGAGTGTCAGTGAAAATCATCAGGCTTAAATCATCAATATCCTAATGACATCAAGGGGGTACTCCCAAATCCAAGTCATCAGAATTCGACCATGAATTAGCATAGCAGCATAGCTTAACCTATGGTGACTTGCGGATTCTCCACTTTAGGAACCCCCATTAAAACTCATTGAATCACCATCAAACCACCATCAAATCCCATATATGACCTGCCATCTGTCACCTTGCCCTGAGGTCTCTGGCCGTCGCTTCTCTCGGCCATCAATCTCCACGCTGACCACTCCCTTTCGGATGATGTAGAAGTGCCTGGAGAAGAGGCAAGCGTTAGGAGGGGGACAACCCAATCCACAACATCTCTAGCATAATTTTGAGATACACTACATATTATGTTATACATATGTATATATAAATATACGGACATACATGATTATAGACGAAATAGCAAGCATGATATATAAATCATGTTGTGCGGTATCCTCTATTTATTGGAAAACATCCCTTTTTTGGACGAACCTGTGCGAGGTTCTGCCAAAGTCTTCCACTTGCTTCACTGAGCTTTAACATCTTCGCTCCAAACCAAACGTTCGCCCGTGCCCGAATCGTGCACCAGTACAGTACATTTTTATTTTTAAGGCTTCATTAGGGTTTAGACTTTAGACTTTAGGTCTTTAGGGGTTGGAGTTTGTTGTTTTGGTCAATTCAAACTTCGGCACTACGCATGGATTCAAACATGTCAAAGGATATGCGGGATCCGTCACAGGCAAATGTCTGGTTTGCAGCGAACATCTTTGATCTATTTCAAAAGCGCTGACATTCTTCAGTCTGACTGTCAAATTTCGTGAGTAAGGCAACGGCGTTCCAAAGTCTCCTTGGGAAAAGACCTCAGAAGCCACGCGTGGCTTGTCGCTGTTTGATGTACTGCTGTTGAGGATCGAGACATAGCAACTGACGGGTAGGAGAACCACTAATTACGTTTAAATCATTTGCATCCTTTGCAGATGCACAGCCTAACCTGGAAGATCTAGACACATTCCAATGGATTGTTTTACCATGTTTTACCCCAAGGGTGACACCCAAATAAATCACACGAACAAAACACTCGAAACAACACAAGCTTTCTCCATGGACCACCACAGCCGGACCTTGGCTCCCCTCTTCACCGTCTCGATTTCCAAGGCAGCTGCCAGACCTTTCAGATGTGGAGTGATCTGGTGCTGGACTAGGATCCGGGAAGGCATAGCATATGAACATATGATTAAAGAGAATATCAAAGATAAAGTAATATATATATATATGAGTATATATATATGAGTATATATATGTACAATTATATCAACATATATCAACGATATTTTAAGGATATGTTTCACCAGAATTTGGCTAAAGGATGCCCTGGCATGCCTGATAATTTTAGACAGACAGTTTCCAACCACTGAGCGTTGAGCGTTTCAGCTGCTCCATAGACAGGGTGGCGAAGATGAAGACAGATTGAAGGCTTCGGACCTGATCCGCAATGGACTACTGAGTTGAATTATGTTGAACCGATGTCAGAGCTGTGATCCGATGTCAGCTGTTAGCAACCTGCTGAATTCATGACTTCTTTGGAGCTCCTAGGCTCATGTTGGCTCATGATTTCATGACATTTCACTGTATTTCATGGTATTTCATGGTATTTCATGGTATTTCATGGTGCCATGGCCATGCATCCCATTGCATCCCTGGTCGCATCCGGTCAGCTCGTGGCCTTACTATCTTGCTCCACGGCTCCATCGAAGTTATCGAAAGCCAGGATGCTTCCCAGGTCCTCGCAGCGGCGATGGTTTTTCACGATGGCATCAAGGCGCAGATCCAATCGTCACAACGGCACAACGGCACTGTCCTCACGTTGCCAAACGGCGAGCTTCGAATCTGCCAGTGCCTTCACTTTTAGGGGTGCCAACCTTAGTCCATGCAAGTTTTGTGAGATTGAGTAAGTACCATGTAAGATCATGTAAGTACCATGACAAACAGTTTAAGGGAAACACCCACCTAACTCATCCTGACTCTGCTCCCATCAAGATTTAGCATGGCTGACTGGCATGACTTTGGCAAAGGTCTGGACTGGTCGTTGTAGGGGATGCTGAACATGGTAGGCCTGAGCGATTTCCCAGGATGCCGAAGCAGCTGCGTCTTCTCTTCACACAAGAACACAGAACACCAAATCCTCACTGTCGAGGCTGCCCAGAGTTTCACTTTGGAAGCGTCATTTGATAAGGAGCTGCCAGGGGTCCAAAGTTTTTTTGAGCAAATTTTGGATAATATATTCGTTCATTCGTTCATGGTGATGCACTCCTGAGAGCCATGCGATGCTCCCGTCAAATGCTGCATGCCAATCTCGTCCAAAGTCCTGAGGCTGGCTGAACTCTTCCCGTCCCTGTGCTTCAGAATGCACCAAAGAAATGCCAGGGTTACTGTACATGTTTCTACCAGGAATCGAACACATGTCAAGCATTGTCAAACAATGTTAAGCACCCCCCTCAGTTGCTAGTTAGATCTTCACCGCTCAGTCCATCTATGACTGCTGCACGACAGAAGCCTTTGTTCCAATATGTTCTACTGAAAGATACATACCTCCTTGATCCTCCTTGAAATCCAGACATGGCAAATCCAACCGATTAAGCTTCGCTGAGTGCCAGTGCAGATCCACTTCTCCATTCAAAGCGACCATCACCCGAACATCCTGCCATAGAAAAACAGGAACGAGATCCCCCAGTTCCCGTTCGAAGGTCGAAGAATGCAGGTTGTTGCCAATTCAATCTCAATATTTTTCTAGATCGCTAAGAGTTATTGAATATTTTTTTAACCAACTAACCAACTGTGACCTTTGTGGATCTTTGTGGTAGGTTGTAAACCCTGAAGTGCACACAACAGTTTCAGCTGAGTCCTCCCAGCTGTGCTCGGATCCTGCAGAGACGAAGGAGCAGACCAGCTTCACATCATCCAACCAGGCTGTAATCGAAGTAACAGATATTAAGGTGACATTTCCACTCACCCAAATGAATCGAAATTGGTATATTCATGTATATTCATGATATTTAATGATAATAATAATAACAATAATAATAAATAGTAATAATAATCGTAATAATAAAAACAATAAACAAATACATAAATAAATCATAATAAGAATATATATATATATACATTAGATGTGAGGTGTAAAGCATAGATGTCAAACACACTCGTTCACACCAGGTTCACGCTCGCATATCCTTTTCTCCTATTTCCTGTCGCTTCGTATGGTCTCAACCTGCCTCCAGCAGGATTAATGCTTTGGGTAACTGTGTAGGTGTCCTCCTACACAGCAGCACTGGTTAGATCCATACTCCCTGTTCCGCACTCCTGTCAACCCAGGAGGCTACACAGGGTGAATCCTTCCCACCTAGTGCTCAATCGTGCAACGGCACGTAGAGATCAACATCCGCAATGATGTGATCCCCTACAAGAGAGGATACTCCACAGGAGTCCTATCTCATAGGGAGGGAAGGGAGGGAAAAGAAGAATGATGAAGCCAGTTTGGCTCAGACTTGAGCCAAAATGGATTCATCAACTTACACACTCAACCCTAATGATAATGCACACCCAGTGCCTGCCAAACACGATGCATACATACATTAGATGTGAGGTGTAAAGCATAGATGTTAAACACACTCGTTCACACCAGGTTCACGCTCGCATATCCTTTTCTCCTATTTCCTGTCGCTTCGTATGGTCTCAACCTGCCTCCAGCAGGATTAATGCTTTGGGTAACTGTGTAGGTGTCCTCCTACACAGCAGCACTGGTTAGATCCATACTCCCTGTTCCGCACTCCTGTCAACCCAGGAGGCTACACAGGGTGAATCCTTCCCAATGCACTTCATTCCTCCCAAAGCACTTAGAGAAAGTCCACGACCTGAAGAAACGCAGGAAGTGGTAGAGACCACAGCTCGAAGGGGAAAACTGCGAAATGCGTGGTGAACCCATGGCGCTTGTGCCATGTAGCCTGGAGGCCCACACGACTGATCTCGTCGGACCAGTTGGCCTTGCTAGGGATCCACTCCCAAAAGAACCAGGCTTGGAGTGCAAAAAGAGTGATATGAATCAGACGAGTCATATGTTCTAAATCTGCATTATCTGAACGTCCTCGAATCAGAGCCATCAGTGCCGCTGTATTATCAATGAACCAAAGTCCTCTACGGCCACGAAACGTCGATGGACGGGTGAAGAGCGCATAGAGGACCTGTAACAACTCCAGTTGGGCAATCTTGGTGTCTCCTGGCTCCCAGAGGTTGTACACCACTGGGGGGATGATCGAAACAAAGGCCTCCCGCCGCTGGATGCAGCCATCATGCCAGACGACCAAGAAGCCGCCTGTCCCTTGGCCTGGGATTTCCAAGGCTGCGTCTGAGGCCGCCAGAAAACGTGGCCCTGCATGTGGCCAAATCTCGATTGTCCTGGAGGGTTTGGTAGCAATGACAGCGCGCAACAAGTCAAAGCATCGACGCAGCTCCTCAGTTAACTCTGAGGTACGCTCCTGTTGTCGGCGCTTGATTGGGGCTAAACCTCCGCACCCAATACGCCCCCATACTCCCAATTCGAAGAAGTTGGCCACGCCATAGATCTTAGCTGCAACTCCTGGTTGAAGCCGGCTGGAATCCTCAGCGTGCTTCATGAGATGAAGGAGCTTCTGTTCGATGCGTTCACGGGCCCAAAACTGGATGGTGCCTTGGGTGTGAATCTGACTGAAGTCATGATCGAGCCCCAAGAAAGTGCCTGATTGCTGCATCCTCTGGCACTTCTCTGCTGAGAAGGGTGTGCCCAAAAGATTGTTGAGAAACTGCATTGCTCGTTGACCAGATCCTTTGCAAGACTTCCTATCAGTCACATGAGCATCATCGAAATACAAGCTGGTCAAACAGAAAGTGAATCGACGCGCCAATGCTTCCACCAGCCTACTGTAGCGATTGAAAGACGTGACTGCCAAGGGGAGACCAAAAAGCAAACCAGTGTAAATCATAAAGGCAGGCTTCTGCCATTCATGGTGGAAAAATGCCACAATGCAACATAAAGCCTCATCCTTGCTCATGGGGCAAAATCTGTAAGCATCTGGCCAGTCCTCACCGCCCGATTCCCATTCTTCTGTGTCCCAGATGGGAAGGGCTCCATATGCGCAGGCATATTGTAGATGCTGAGCTGGCCGGAGGGCTGAACAAAGGGTGAGCTTGTTGGCGTCGCTAGAACGCTCAGACTGTAGGCCTACATAGGCGTCGTCAATCACCCGTTGCTTCCCCGAGGATTGTGTGATCACACATCGAGGAATCAAACGATAAGGCTCTGCACCCAGCAAACTGTGCAGTTCCTCTGCATCCATCGGCAAGCTGCAGAAGCCTTTCTCAGCATCCTTGAGGCTCTGTTGTAACATGAATTCATCATCGTTGCCAGGCCTCAAACGAGTCAGGATCCACCGGTTGTGGGTCCTCCAATCACGAAGGACATCCTCCCGTGTCAAGCGGGATGCCTCCTGCTCTGGGAATATGCCATAGGGGGGTGCGTATCCCACTGCTGGGAGCCCCATGCAAAGGCCAGCCGGCAGCGTCACATCGCCCCAGTTGGCTAAAAGCAACAGGATGGCTGTGAAACCAATGTCTCTTTGTGCAGTGGCCGTCCGAATTGCCTCAGTCTGTTTGGTCCTCAAATGTTCCGTGACCTTGCTCCAGCGCCTCTTCATCTCGGCTAAAAGGCCCATAGCACGTTTTCTCAGCTTGCTCAGGTCGACTCCTGGCATGCTTGAGAAGGAAGCCGCAAAGCGAAGGTCATCATCCAACACCGGAAGCCCTTCTGTAGGCAAAGGTTGTACACTCAGTTGCAAAGCTTGCTCAAAATGCTGGTCCGGGTGAAGATGGAACGGCAAGAGGGGTGCCAGCGCAGCCCTGTGGTTGATGGCCCCCACCTGCTGGCCCTCAGCTGTCCGCATCTTCTGCCGCACGGAAGGAGCTGCCAAAACTGGGTTCCAGCTGCCTTCCATGTCAAGCCCCTGTTGGTGCGGTAGAGCTTCTTGAACGCCAGCAGCCAGTGACTCCTGCAGGATGTAGAAAGGCCCAAACGGGGTGCCCGTCGCTTTGGCAATGCTCGACAGGAGGACACTGCGTGTCACTGCCGTGTGGCTCCTGCCATTCGATCCTTGGACAACTTGGGGAGCTACTGGATGGCGATGTAGGCTGAGCCGGTCAAACACAAGCCCTGCCAAGAGGTCAGCCTCGCAGGTCTGTGCTGCTGGGCAATCACACACCAAAACCTTGCCTTCCAGCTCGTCCAGCTCCTGCCATAACGTCTCTCTGACATACTGAACAAAGAGGGGAAGCCAATCTTGTGGTGTGCAATTCACCCCAACTTACCAAGGAGATTTCCACTTCGTTGTCTGGAGCCGGTGAGCGTGGTTTCCCATACCCACATAGACGTGCCCCAGGGGCAACTCGCCCTGCTGCAGCACCTCCTCGACACAAGCTCGGGTTGGCACACGAGCCGCTTCCGCCGTGTCCACCGGCCTCAACCCCAGACTGATTGCCAAAGGAGTCATAGCCCATTCTCGGAGAGACCTGGGGTCCAAGTCAAGCCAATGATCCCTGTGACCGGTACAGCTAGGGGATGGCGAACGCGGCACATACAATTTGGCATGACCAACACGCACCGCCCACCATGAAGCCGCTGTGGCGATCGCAAAGCAAAGTTCTGCTAAAGATCTGCCATCCGCGGCAGCTGACAGTCAACTCTGTCTACGGGTGTTGCCTCTTCCTGCCCGGCAGAAGTCCCCGCCTCCTCTGCTGGGCACCGTCATGGCGATACCTTGGCCCTGCACTGGCCAGCACCATGCCCCGGCATACCACAGACTCGCTCCCCCCGGACAACCGCACCACACTTGTGCTGTCCTTGAGGACAGGAGCCTTTGGGATTCTTGCACTGCCCATGTTGGAAAGCCTGGCAGATCTTCGTGCCATCCCTCATGGTCTTGGCGACCTTCTTCCCATTCACTGCCTTCCCCAGAGTGAACTGAGAGGGCATCGGGGTCGTGGATGAGGGCGTTGGAGTTGTCCTGCTCGCTTCTGCCCTGGTTCCTCCAGAGACAGCCTGCGGCATCCAATGGGCATCACGTGCCTGGCATGTTTCCTTGATAACCTCCCCCAAGGACTTGGAGGACTCCCTGAATCGCGCCACCCAGTCTGAGCGGTCTTCCAGGTCCCTCGCTTCAAGCCACGCAAGTCGCTGGGAGAGAGGCAGATGCTGGATTGTCGCTTCGCTCTGTGGTAATAGTGCATGACCACGTCCATGGGCACCTCCACAAATGCTGTTGAGTCGGCTCCAAGGGACTTCTCCAATGAGGCGTCCTTCACATTTGCTCTGGGGGTCACTCCCGCCATCGCATAGGCCAACAGCAGCGTGAGCAGGCGATCCATGTAGTTCTCCCAGTCATGAGGAGTCTTGTCATCCTCCTCGGCCTCCTCCGTGTACAGTCCCTCGGCCAACTTGCGCTTCTTCTGAGTGGTATGGAGTTGATACTGCAACGTACGGACCTTCCAGAGATTGTACACACATAACATTCTCTTGGACAGCTCCCTGCTGACCCTTGAAAGAGTAGCATCTGCTGGGTGAACCTCAGGTGGGTATCGCATCCGATACCTGATCCAAAAGTTGGTCTTGACATCACGCAGCTCAGAATCAGCAAGCATCGTGTCCAGGTCACCAAGACTGACTTTGGATCGATCTTGGTCCTGGTTCTTGTAGTACAACGTGACCGCCGTCCAAGCCCGGCGCAACCTAGACCCCTGAATCAGGCGTTCCTCGCCAAGCTGCAACTTCGCCAAGAAGGTATCCACCTTGGTCTCGTCTTCAAAAAGGAAACGAAATTCCTCAAGGTTCTGGATCTTGGTCGCCAGCAGGGCCTTGGTCACGACAGGGTCCAACGAGAAATTCATCCCTAAAGACTCCATGGTTTCCTGAATGGTGGTACTCTCCACCGGAACCAGACGAGTACTAGTCATTTCACTCAAGGTAACTCCTTGTATGACTTGAACATTCAACGCTGCTCACCCCATACATGCCTCCCGCATGCTGCTCATCACCTGCCATCCAAAGACAGAAGGAGGCGACGTGGGGGGGGCTGGACAAGAACTCCCCTGTTCCTCAGGGGTAAGACAGACTGCTACCTTAGCTCATTCCCTCGGCTCATGTATCCACAGCTTGTACTCACAGGATCCTGTGTAAGCTCCCTCATGAGGACCGACGAGACTAGTTAACACAGTCTGTCCCCAAATTAAGCCCTATACTCATGCCAATGCTGCTTGAACTCACAGTTCCCTGTGTAAGCAACTCTGAAAACATGCAAGGGCTCCTAACGGAGTCTACCCAAACCTCATCCTCCCGGATGTCGATGTAGACTCTTTTCCACACTCAAATCAAAGCTCATCTGACTGCATGATGCAAGTTGGCCTACGGGCAAGCTATGGACCTCAGTGATCAGCCTACCAAAATCGGCCCTGTGCGTCTCTTATTCAAATTGAATTCAGGTGCGTCCCCACTGACATGGTCAGCGTGGGTGCCAGCTCGCTGCTGCGCGCACCAAACAACTGTCACAAAATGCGCGGCCCCATGCCATGGCCTCCCTCATATCCTGCGTAGTCATCGGTTTTACCAAGCGGATTGCACGCTCGGCAGATTGCTTGTGTGAGCAGAGGGTCTGGCCATTGTTGAGCTCCAAGTGGACCTTCGACCGCTGAGTTGCGATATAGCCACATGGCTCCGGGAATGGGTTCCGGAGAGAGCTAGCCCTGAGAGTCGTGTCAACCCACGACCTCATCCCAGCCTCATGGATGATCCCCGGAATGTCCAGGGAGCGCCTGCAGCTTTTGACATAAGCCACGGCAACGTCCCAGCTCTCCTGCGCAAGTAGGGCCCTGAAGACGCAGCCTCCAACACCAGCTCGGTGACGTCCTGATAGGCAATGGATCAGTGCTGATTCTCCTGCATACATCGTATTGCGCAGCAGGGGCCAGACTTCCTCAAAGTCCCTGTTCCTGGAGTTGCCATGCGCCACACAAAGGTGCTTCAGGAGGGCATCCGTCAGCACTACTCCTCCTCGGGAGGATGGGGTCTCAGCCATGCATGCAATCTGAAGGGTAACTCCCTTCGGAAAGCGATGCGCAGTATTCTTGGTAGGAATCCCGCTCAGCCACAGCTTGCCCCCTGCTCTGTTCTGGTAGATCAGGCTTGGGCTCTCTGCAGTCTTGCCGTGGACAGTAGCCAGCCTGTCAAACTTCCTGTCAGGCCCCCGGGTGTCCAGTGCCTCTGGAATCGGGAGGTCTTCCTCCTCCACTTCAATCTCTTCATCCTCAGAGCTCGAAACCAGGGCTGGAAGAGGAGCTGCAGGTGTAGCTGGAGCTGCCTTCGCCTTTTTCTCAGGCGGTGCTTTAGGCGGTTGGCCCTGTGGCGATCGAGGGCGCCTCGCTGGCGCCTTGGGTGGGGTGGCTGGTTCAGGAGGTCGCTCCTCCTTGGACTTGCTGGTAGGCTTAGCCTTCGCAGAGCCCGAACCAGTCCCTTCGCCCGGCATCTCTTCCACCTTGATGAACTTCTTGTCATGGCATTCGCATGCTGGATGTCCTCCTCCACAGACGCGTCCAGATTTGCGCATCATGGCACATGCATGCCTACCCGGGCATGATTCCTTCTCTAACGTGCAGGACTTCGTTTGATATGCCCCACAAATAGGCGCCCCGTTCTTCATGAAGGCACTCAGCACCTTCCCATTGAGGGAAGCTGGCATAGCCGTCAGCCCACCTTTGGCTTGGGCTTCCTCCCTCTTGGCAGCTGCTTTGAGCTTGAGGGCTTCTGACAACTGAAAACGAGCTTGTAACTCATCCTTAGTCAAAGGGGCTGCCCAGATGACACGGGACTCCTGCTTCAGGACCTTGTCGACTTGCTGGCGCGCATAGTCAAGGGCCTCCGCAAAGCTCTGTTCCGGAATCGTCTCCCAAGACTCGTAGGCCAACAACTTCTCCATGGCCAGCCTGATGATGTGCTTGGTCCGAAGCGAGTGTTCATACCTGGCTGCACTGTAGTGCATAGGCATCGTCGCTTCTTTGGGGATCTGGCTCCGATCGGCCCAGTCGCCAAGCGAACATAACTCCAGGGGCGTCAGCTTCATCAGTGATCCCACTGTGGGGCCAGCTCGCCTCCAAGAGTAAGACGACAGATCGTCTGTGTTCTGGACCAAGTGCTCGAAGACCTCGCGGTTCAAGTCGTTGACATACTTCAAGGTGAATGCGGTACCCTCCGCATCGAAACAGAGGCCTGAGGTGGCCTGCTTGGTCTTGGTCAGCTTGCTATAGTCCCGAAATAGGGCTCGCCCATCCATTCACGAATGTTGCGGGGATACAGAAGGAGAATCCACCCCGATTGGCCCGCTGCTTGCCCTTCGGGCAAAACCCATGGAACGAAGATGGTGTCACCTTCACCGGCCTGGCCCTCATGATGTGCTTGTAACGCAAGACACCAAAGGTTACCAGCCATGATGAAAGCAACCCTCGCCAACGTGGGTCCTCTGCCTCGTACATGGCCTGTATGCGCTCTTCCAGGGCAGCAATCATCGGCGGTTCAACTGCGACTGCCTGCTCAGGATTTGCCTTCTTGGGTGGATTCTTCCTTGAGGGCACTGGCACATCACTGAAGTCCCACTGCAAGCGACCATGTTTCGAAAACCATTTCAAAGAATGAAATGCCCTGTAGGGTCCATTGGTGCCATTTTGTAGAAAGCCATAAAGATCCAAAGTATCAGGCGGAAACAAACGATCTTTCTGTTCCATGTATGCCCTCAATTCTGCCCAGGACTTGAGGGCATTCACAACTGTGGCGCCCTCTGCCTCCGTGACCTTCTTCTTGGCCAGGGTATCCAGGGCATCCTGCCATTGTGAATACCTCTCAGGGGTCAGCTCCCCTTGAGGGCGCATCACCTTGGCCTGGGAGAATGCTTTCCGCAAAGCCGCGGCTCTCAGCAGCACTTGTTCTGGTTGATCTGGGCCTGGACGGATGCGAAGTGCCTGGATCATCCTGCTTTTCTTCAACATCGAAGCCTTGGGAGCCGGCCAACTTGCTGGCCTATCCCGAGATCCAGAACTCTCTGCCACTGCCGCCACCTGCGGAATGAGGTCATCTTCAATGATGTTGGAACGCGCCTGCAGCCACGCATCGGCAACATGGTGTCCTCCATGCGCCACTGCGCTGTCGTATGATGCGAAGGCATAGGCGAAGTCCGTGTTGTCATGCAATCCCCATTGAGATCGCCACTGCTCCACCCTCGTTGAGGCCACCCGTTCCATCGCAGTCTCAGCGCCAAGTGGAGCATCACCTGCAGCTTGAACTGCGTAGGCACCTGGGTGATATGCCATGGCAACCCCCGACACCACCGCTGCCAATGTTTGGAGCGTTCGCGCTGGGCCTGAAACTGCAGAATTCACCTCAGTATCACCAGGTACGAAACATGCATCACTATGCCGCAGCTGCTGCAGATGGGTCTCTATGCAAGTTGGGGTGACAGCCTGGACACTGGGAGGGTGGACAGGTACTGCACACTGAAGAGAAACAGTGCTCACATAGTTCTGGGGTCGGAATGCCACAGGCCCGACATGGCGGCAAGGGTTCCTCCCCAGCCTCCATGGCACCGAGCCACCCCCAGAGCGACCGCACTGCCCTGGCCCGTGGTGCCCTCCACGCAACCAGGTCAGCTGGGATAGGCACCATGGATGGGTCTCTCCATCCTCGGCGCGGGGACTGCCACTTCCTCCAGACATCCCACAGCTCGGCAAGGTCGACCATACTCTCGGCATTGTGCTCGATGAAGGCCACCAAGCCGAAGATGTTGTCCGGCGCAAAGTCCCTGGCTGTCCAATGGGTCCGCAGCGGCTCAATGAGCAGCAAGTCCAGCTTCGCCTCGCCCAGGCGATCATAGTAGGACTGCCACGCCAGCCGCGGGTCACTCCCGGGCAGAGCCAAGACAGCTGAGCTGTTCCACGTACCAATCCATGGGAACTTGAATCCTCCCAAAAACTCGGTACACCTCCTACAGTTTTCCTCCATGCAGGGTGACCGTCTGAAAGGGGGAAGTCCCTCCACCCCCAAACCAATGGGATGAGGGGGGAAATGGTCGATCTGACACACTGAGGACCATAACCTGGTGGCTTGAGACACCAGGCCCCGCTGGAGCAGGCCTTCCACGTGGGTCTTGAACTCGTAGTAGGCCGCCGCGTGAAGGATCTCAGCGTCGGTGTGGGCAGCCTCATTCCAACCCGGCCGAACGACAACGGTGGCCCTGGGCATCAGGGGGGTATCTCCCACCTCCGTAACCTCTGTACGCTAGGGTAACTCCCTAGTAGAGGAACGAATAACCACTTACCCTAGGGTGACTCCCTAGTAGTGGTGTGGGTACCCCGAACAAAAGAAGAATGATGAAGCCAGTTTGGCTCAGACTTGAGCCAAAATGGATTCATCAACTTACACACTCACCCTAATGATAATGCACACCCAGTGCCTGCCAAACACGATGCATACATATATATCATTATATATCAATGATCCCAACTATGTTCATGTATTTTTTGATATATTTTCCCCACGATTGTACCAACCCCTGCCATCGCCTTTCGGTAGGAGCCGGATCTGGCAGCTTGACGCCACAGCTTCTCGGTTTTCGGGATGTAACCTGGAGAAGTCCTGGCTGGAACAAGACTTCCTGGGAGATATGATGGCTTTGGTGTCTTCGCACCGATCAATGTGCCAGTGCTGTCACTACGCTATCTACAACCACAGCCCAAAGCACATCAAAACCTCCGAACTCATCGCGGTGAAATGCTGTCCTGATGCTTGGCCAAAACGTAGAGAACGCGATGCTTCACCAAGACCTGCCAAGGACTTTTTTGAGGAATCCATCAGCCGGGGTGAAGCATTAAACACTTCAGGTGGAATGATCAAGACTATTGGGGATTTTTAACATGTTTGAAGGCTTTTCAAGGTCTAAATTTATACAAATGTTTGAAAACTTGGAGCTGTACGGAGCTGTTCAGCTGTTCTCATTTTCAGGACTTGACCAATTTCAGCTGATGAAGTTTTGCCTATTAGGATTAGGATATGGACTGAGGGACCGGCATCAAGTACTGCTCGATTTTTACACGTGTCTGCAAATATGGATACCAGAAAATACCAGAAGATACAGGTCTATGGAATCATGCCCCATCCAAGTACACACTACACACTTGCAGCATTGCCCCCATCAAATCTGTTTTCTCCAACACAGCACCTGTGGCAACTCATCCCCGAAGAGGTTATCCAGGAGCGAGTGCTTCAACACAAGCACCCTGAGTGCAACAACATCTTGGCGACAATGGCAACTGAGCACCAAGCGTTTACTTCCAATCTACTGATTCATGTTCTTCTGTTCTTCCCATTGACCCCAGGCAATCCTGTTTTCCAAACAACTAAGGTACTAACTAAGGTAGACTAAGGTTCCAATAGGATCTGGGAGCACTCAGCTGAATCTAAGGCTTCGACTCCACTGCGGTTTCAGCTTTCAAAGTTGTTGGTTGCTGGAAAGGCAGCTCATCCTGGCGATGAACAATCATCGGTCCACATATGTCCACATGTTCTACGAAGATCTGAGGCATCCCCAGGCTGTTTCATCCTGCCTTGTGCACCAAAGCTCGATCTCCCATCAAATGATACCTGCACAACAAATCTGGATCAACAAGGCAGCTTGGTTGCGTTTGCTGTTAGGGATGACATGACAGGTGTCATGGCAAAACAGTTGACACAAATCTGCCTGTGACCTCACAGCTTGAGATGAACTTATGAACCAAATGGTTGAGCTGAATGGCGCTTCCCAAGGGTTTCAAGTTTCAATCCCCTTTCATTGCCAAACCATGTCAAAAGTGCCGTCCGCAATACCGTCCGTGCCTGCCGATGTTGTCCATCTTCTGGTCGCGTGACCTAAAAGGGATGCTGTGCATTGACACAAGAATCAACCAAGCTTATCCAAGATCTTCCTCCTCATCACCGAATAATCATCATCACCACCACTATAATATGATCAACACACCACTTTCTTTAAAACACCACTGCTATTAAGCATCCAACCACGATTGCACTTCTCCGCTGTAGAGGATCAGCACCTGGTTCAATCGCAGCATGGGCTTCTCAGCATGCCGCATGCCCTGATCAACACGAATCATACCAGTGTCCAACAAAACCGTTGGAATATCAGAATATCTGAGAATTGGAGGTCTCCTAAAATAGGACTCCCAAATCTTCCAAGTCATTAAACCTTTTTGGCATTGAACCAACCATGGTGAGCGCATCTCCACCTCCTTGGTGGTTTCGCCCTCCTTCAGAATCTCATCACCCGCTTCGAAGGTCTTCATTTCCACCTGGCTGAGGAAGGAGGGCCAATAGTTGTGGTAAATGATCTGCCAATAGTGAGATGTCAAATTAACTATCTATACTATCTGTAGATAATTTGACATAACTATTGAAAATCAACATGTTCAATAGGTGAAACATAATTACAAATGGACCATTTTCCATCGTTATGTGCAACTACCAGAGGGCATCAATTTTCATCAAGAGGATGGACACTACAAGATTGTACTTCAATGTACATCATCCAGTCATCCAGATTTTCATAGATTTTCTATCTATATCCAGCCATCAATTCCAGCCATGAAAACAGAGCCAGGCAGGACCTGGTCGTAGAGGCTTTGAAGCTGGTAACCATTGAGTCCCGACCTGATGGCCACGGCATGCCATGGCTCGCCATGGCTCTGGCTCTGGCACTGGCAGCAGCTTTCAAGTGTCAACTAAGGCTTCTGTAAGCCGCAAGCAAGATCTCGCAGACGTGGGACTTCAACACCTGTGCCAAATGGGACATTTACATATATATATATATATATTATGATAACATGATAACATTAATTAGTTAATCAATTAATCAATTAATTAATCTACATATATACAATTATATATATACATCATTTAGAACATGATAAACAAGGCCATTGGGAAGGTCCTTGCTCGCACTGCCAGAGGGTCCCAGAGCACCGAAATACAAACGCAAGAACACTGCAAAAAAAAACAAGGATTGAAGGATCGATGAATTCACTTTGCAGAATTCATTGTGGATCAAGAAATGAGATCAACAATGATTGGGTTTGTCTGAAATAGGGTATATTCCCATTTGTAGCCATTTAATAGGGGTAATGATCATTAACCATTGGGTTTAGGGGTACACCATTTTCAGACACACCCGATTAACATCTCCCTGCGAGTGCCTCGTCCATTGCATCCACGATGGATAAGCGTCTCTGCTCGTATTGCGCGCTGAGAAGTTCGCGGACCTGAGATCTTCGTGTCACGCATTTTCTCTGATCGGCTACTATTGACTGAGGATCTCAGGTCTTATAATCTGGAAAACCAGCAGCAACCAGGGTAAACCCAATAACAAATAAACCATGTTGGAATATTTTGGATGGTTCATAAAACCCATTTCTGGTCAAAAGGGATGGTATAGATTGGTATAGTATATATTATTGGGTTTACATACCACATGAACTTTTATGGGATCGACGCTACAGAAAGCACTGGTGGCATCTAACGACTGCTTTGTTGCGCCACATCCCTGGGGCCCTGGGCTTGCATTCCTTCCATTCCGTATGCACGAGCACCTCTGCTCACTGTCACAGGATTTGAGGATAGTCCCTGGGGATACCATGGGATACCTCAAATAATGACCATTGACATATTTTTTAAAGGAAATACTGTATGGGATATCCTTTGTATTTTTTAAAATATTTTTCAATGAAGGAAACAAAGGAAATACTGTATGGGATTTTCCACAGCTTCAGTGGCAGACAAACCCAGGAAAGCAATTGAGCTGCCAACAGCCTTGCGCACAGACCTTGGATGGCACATTTTCAGCACGGCGTGTTGCACTCGACTCCTCAGTCACTGGCTGTTGCGCTGCGTTCTCCGAACAACAAAAGGACACTTTCTCCGAAAGAGGTACCAGGCCTTGGAAACAACACGGATGGCAATCTGTTGCAGGAAAAGGGGAAACTCTCGGCACAGAGATCGGATACATGATTCATCATGCATATATATATATATATATCATCCTTTGGAACAGGTGAAAGCAGGTGCACAAGATGTTCCTTCTCATGACTTCTCCTAAGCTCATACAGAGGCAGCGCCAGCCGCCAGCACATGCACAGAATTCTGAGTGAATGACTCGATGTAGCAGTGGGCGACATTATCCTTTAGGACACAGAATTCACCCTGCGCCACAACGAAGAAGTGTGTACCTGACCGGTTGGACAGTGGGACTGGTTCCATGCTGCAAAACCCATCCAAAACTCCGCGAATCTTCACATCTAAGGCGTTGCTATCATACAACATAGTATCAACTAGTATCAGTACATTATCAGTATCATGATGTATCATGTAATGTCCTTCATTCAACTGGCAGTTCCATTCTATCCATTTTTTCCATCATTTTTCCATCGTTCATCACGGTCCTCTCATCCGTACCCGTGGGGCCGTGGGGCCGTGGGGCACCATCCGTATCACCTTGGCGGACCACCTTCTCCCCGTGCATGAACTCATAGACCTCCATGGCCTCCACGAAGTCTGGTTCCGAACGCCAGTATTTTGAAACCAAGCAGAACGCCAGTCTCCCTGAGATATGATCATTCTCGTTGGAAATACATGGAAATACGACATTCTTGTCGGGAACACAGTATGTAATCTGTGGATATCTGTGTAATGTACTATAATGTACTCTTCTCTCTGAGCGCCTCAATGAGACTGTGCAGGGCTTCATCGTCGAAGGTCTCGAAGAAAACAAGATTCCCTGGGCTCCAAAATGTGACATTGATCAAAACAAAGCCGACTGCTGACACTGCTGACCAGAAAAAAACCTGATGACACATGTTTTTGCTGTTTCTTGTGTTGAATTCATTGCTGCTGAGCTCATGTTCACACTAAAGAGTTCAATGAAAAGAATGGCCGTTGATTCGGGCAAAGGAAACAAGTCGGACGTGTCGTGCTGATCCATTTGTTCATGTCAATTCCTCATGATGGCAAAATGTGCAATGCACTTGCGACATCTTGCGACATCTTGCGACATCTTGGGACATGTTATGAGACCTGGAAACTTCATGAAACTTCTCCTGCCAAGCAACGCAAGGTGTTGATGACCATCTCAGTGTCCTTCACCCCATCCTCCACCTCAGACAAAACACAGAAATATGTTGCCAGTTGTACAACCTTCATTGCTCCCTGTGAAGACATCTAGAATTCAATCATATTGAATTGATTTTTTCATAGTCTGATATGATACCCTGATTGTCGTTTTGTTTCGCTTGGTTCCATAATTCCCTAGCTTCTTTGGACTACAAGTGCCTGAGAGCACCAAGAGGAGCCTGGATGTGTATTCCCTCGAACCCTGGCTGTGCTGAAGGAGTGTTTGCTGCATCTGAGAAAAAGTACAAGTTAGCCATTGTTGGTGTGTGCATGCACTCGCTTGGGGCGATTTCACCAATGTGAAACCAGTGAAACTCCAGAATGAAAAGCTCCAAGATGCTCTAAACCTTCAGTTGGTCACTTGGTCCTGCGATTCTCTGAGGTCTTGACAATGTGATTGGCCAGGTCTGCTTCCGGGTTTCCGCCGTCAGCCGAAGAACACCTCTCCAAGGCCAAGGGTACCTGCGGCCAGGACCGATTTCTGATGCTTTTTCTAGATATGCTTGGAGGTTTCTATCCTTTGGTTCCCTGCATTCTGAACTGGTACCATCATTGGAGAATCTTGTTTCTGCCGATATACCATGCTGGCCAGGCACATTTGCATCGGTACTGCCGACACGCACCAAACGCTCCTCTCGAGCTTGTCGCTGCGCCTTGCGTGTGGCAGAAACTCTTCCCCAAGAAAAACAGAAAAACATCTCTGTTGCCATCTGTTGCCTGTCCAGCACACTTAGCAAAACATTATCTTATCTTAGAACGATTGAATGGATGTAAACGAACAACTTGCTTCCCTACAACATCCTAGAGTTCTCTCTCTCTCTCACACATGCACTTCTCACACTCTCAGCATTTCCATGATTTCAGGTCTTTGTCAAATTTTCGTTGGTGCTCTCTACAAAGTAGCCTTTCCCTGCAACCCCTGGCGCACATTGAGTTTCACTCTCTCAGAGATCTCACGCTCGATACTCGATTCGATGCTCACCTCGAATCCGGTGTAGGCCATGCTTTGCTCGGGAAAGCAGTATTTGATAGTATTTGAGCATTCCAACACCACAGACAGAGAGACAGAGAGACAGACAGAGAGACAGAGAGACAGAGAGACAGAGAGACAGAGAGAGAGAGAGAGACAGAGAGACAGAGAGAGAGAGAGAGAGAGACAGAGAGAGAGAGAGAGAGACAGAGAGACAGAGAGACAGAGAGAGAGACAGAGAGACAGAGAGACAGAGAGACAGACAGAGAGACAGAGAGACAGAGAGACAGAGAGACAGAGAGACAGAGAGACAGAGAGAGAGACAGAGAGACAGAGAGAGAGAGAGAGAGACAGAGAGACAGAGAGAGAGAGACAGACTTAGCAAGAAAACCACGGAGTGAATGAGAAGTCAACAGAGGAAGTTCATGGAAGTTCTAATGTGACAAATTCATACAAATGGTGGACACCTCAAGCACCGTCTGCATCGAAAGCCTGCCTGCTTCACCAAATTGCGATCAGTCGATGAGGAGCAAGGCCTGATCAAATTTCTGATTGCTTATTTTTGGGCCATGTTAATGGTGCTAGTTTCGTTGTCTTAGCTTGAATTCGTAGAATCTGGAAGACGGAGACTGCAAATGCTCTGGCAAACACAGCCAGAGGCCGAGAAATTTGCTCATCAGGGAATTGTGGATCCACCCAGTGCCATATCCCGAACCCAGATCCCGTTTTTTCACTGGGACTGCCCGGCTCCAAAGTGGTTGGCTTTGACCTGAAATTGAAGTCATCATCGGTGCTGTTGATGCACATTTGCAGGGTGTGGTGTTCTTTGAATCTCCTTGAAATATATTTGCTTAGTCCAATCATGTCCAATCATTCTAGGCAATGCGGAAATTCCATGGAATTCAATGGAATTCAATGATACAATTTTCAAGCACCTCCTACATTTGGGTTGATCCATGGTTGATCCACTGGGATCTCTCCATGCCTTCGTCGACGTCCCGAGCTGCCGGAAACGCTTTCCGGGGTGGCGCTGGCCTATGGAATGGGATTAGTGACCATGCCATGGGTACAACTTTGAAGTTGCACAGGTAAATATAGGATATGTGTGTACATACATGATATATAATGATATATATATAGTATATACTGTCATAGAATATGTCGAGCCTGTGCAAAGCTGGCTCTTGGAATGACAGGAACTGTGCACAATATATCATCATAATATACGTACATATACGTACTGTATAATCGTAATACGTGGTAATTATAATACGTCCATCATGTAACATGCTAATATGTTGTGAGAAATTCTGAGACCGAAATTCCTAATGCTTACCTATTCCCCGAAACCTCTATTTTCCACTCCTACTACGACAGGACGGACTTGGCTTCTTTGGAAAGTGAACATGTCGAAGGGATATGAAGGGATAGGATCTGCAGCACCTGCGGAGAAGTCAAACTGCTGATGCAAGCATATCCCAGCCAACCCAGAAAGCAAAGTGACTTGTACAAAGTCTTCTTGCCACATCTAAACTTTACTAAACTATAGCAAAAAAAACAACATTCAGAATTATTCAATATTATTCAAAATATATTATTACTATATTATGTAATAATCTAATATATATATATATAAATATCTTATATAATATATTAATATATATATATATTAATATATTATATAATAATATAATATATAATATAATATATTTTATAATATCGTTTATAATATATTGATATAGTAATATATATTTATTAAACATCATATTATCATATATCATATATATATCAATATATTATGTAATCATATAATCATATATTATATTATATAATCATATAATATATTATATAACCATATACTATATTTTATAATATCTTATATAATATATTAATATATATATATATACATATGTTAAATATTATATTATATTATATTATTAATTACTATTATAATATGTATATATATATATAATATATATCTATAATATAAATACATATATTCATCATCTGCAATTTCTCCCCATGTTCACCAATTGGACGCCCGGAGCCTGCGCAGACGGCACAGTGACATCGTAGCCCCAATCCACTGCCTTGGACGAAGCACTGACAGATGTTCAGCTACACCATGTCCAAAGGTTGAAAGATGTTGAAAGGATTTGAAAGGTATTACTGTATTACGCCCATTTTTTTAGCTATCTGAAGTCTAAAGTCCAGATTCCCTTTCTTGTGTTCATCGATGTTCATCGTTTATATCGTTTCATGTTGCAAATCTATCGAATTTACATGAATTTACGGTGGTAACTCTGAGCATCTCTGAGCCCGACATGGATCCGAAAAGAGAATCGTTGAGACCTCTGAGTACCCCACAGACATGAACGGTGTGCTCATCCGTGAACGAGGGTTTCGGGATGAGGCACTGGAGGCAGATATGCTCTCAGCCTCGAAACAAAGGGTGGGGATGGATAGGTGATGCTAGGCTAGTGCCAGCACCTTTTGGTAACATATCTAACTTATGTAACAACAATGTGACATTGGAATGCATTAAACGATATTAAATGTATCATTCAAATACAAAAAGTATTGACTTCACTTTTCTTCTGTTTGATGGGAAACGGGAGCACTGATCCCAACATTTGGAACCGAGGCTGTTGGTTTCGCAGGACTGGGACTCTGGCATCACTGGGTGGATCATCTGGATCTGATCCACCTCGACTTCGACTTCCCTGAGGAGTGGTATGGATATCGCGGGCGGCGCCATGGGTTCAAACTATTTGAACATTGGATTCCCCGGAATGGCGAAATTATCTAAATGGATCTAGATGGGATGGCAAACTACAGAAACAACTGATATTCGTGGACTTTCGGGTTCTGAACTGCTGACACATTCTGACTCATACCACACGGTACCCATATCGAAGCAGATGTGTCTATGCTGTGACGGAAGCCTCTGCTTCTGGGTCTTGCCCGTCAGATGTCCTGACTGGCAAACGAGAGGCAATTGCACCGCAACTGACTGGCAACCAGGAACAATATAAATCCCTATTAGATATTATTAGATCCTATTAGTAGATTGATGACCATTCCCTAAAAATAAATGTGGGTCTATCATTGTGGTCTATCAGTATATCAGCCAACTATTGACCATGGCAATAAAAACAAGGGAGCTCCTGCTGATTGGAACCGCTGACTCCGGAGAGGCGTCCTGGTCACTTTGCTGCATGGAGATGGTAACTTCATCTCTGAGATTTCGAGATCATGCCCTTCTCATTTTTGATGTGATATGTTTAGATCACATATTCCAACTTGACGCCAAGGGGTGAGGAAGGAAAGCTAGCAGAGAGGGTGCAATGAGGAACACCGGGATGAAGATGATGAGATTGCATCCCTGAATGGCAACAACGAAGATATGCTACTCAAGCTGCCGCGGTGACTACTAGTATGATGGTGGCAGTGGCGGTGGTGTTGACGATGCCGATGTCGATGCCGTTGCTGATGCCGATGCCGTTGCTGATGCCGTTGCTGATGCCGTTGCTGATGCCGATGATGCCGATGATGCCGATGATGCCGATGATGCTGCTGCTGCTGCTGCTGCTGCTGCTGCTGCTGAGGATGATTATGATGATGATGAGGAGGAGGAGGAGGACGACGAAGATGATGACGATTACGACAATGCGGAGGATGCTGATGGTGACGATGGCCCGGGGGGGATTAAGCCAAAAAACTGCTTCCAAGGCAGCCCAACGGAGAGGGGTCAGGGGGTAGTACGTAATTTGCAATTCAAGCCCCTGTCAATACCTTGCTAAAGCAAGAGGAACTTCAGGTGGCAGAAGCTAGCTTTCGTGACATAGTCAACCACTCAAAATCATTGAAGTCCGTTTCACTCCATGGTGGCATCCAGTGGCACAAGTCACAAGGCCAACCTTGAACTTGACTTTCCTGTCTTCTACCTTGGTGCATCCGTCACTTCGTGTGCAAACCACCGGTCAACCTGAACTGTGGCTCTCGCCCAACTAGTCTGTTGTCGATCTCGCACGGATTTCCAAGGGATCCCTCTGCGGGGAACCACTGCCTGCAGGACACAAACTGAGCCAGGAAGTCCGAACAAAGCCAACTAAGAACTAAGAACATGGTCAACATTGATCAACAAATATCAATATGTAGCGATCCCGGCAATCCCGCCTCCGCCTCATCAGAAATTGGTGAGATGTTGTCAAATTCAATGAGGCTGGCAGGGCGGAAGCTTACCGTCCTGCTGTCTGGGGCTTCGCAGCTCTGAGCCCCAAGGAGGGCCTTGGAGCAGTGACAGTCCCAATATGATAAACTTCGTGACGTAGTGGTGACATGTGGTCCAGTGGTACTGATGACCTCACAAACCCACAATCAAGATGGACACTTCTAATCACTTCTAAGCCAAATTGATGTTCTACTTCAAATTTTGAACAGACCAAATTATGTTAATATGGAATTGGTGCTGCATACAGCTGTTGTTGGCGCCATCGAATCATATCGAATCCAAATTCTGTCAAAGACTTTTGCCATGTCCTTCTGTTTCTGGGCTCTGCACCGAATTGGTAGCGTCCTACGTTGCAAGCAATCTTGCAATCTTGAAAGGGGCAAGGAGAGGCTCCCATTTTTTGGAGCTCTGACATGCTCTGACTAATTATATAAGTTGCAGCATGTTGCAGCCTGACATTTCGATGAAGCCTCAAAGAAAATCTTTGTGAACCAGCCTCGAAGTTCACTGCACGATCTCCAAGCATTTCGTCCTCCTGAGACATCGACTTGTTTTTCATTGTTTTTCCATACTCCATTCTGCCGTCAATCCAACTCTGCCGCAGCACTTGTGTTATCTTCGCACGCAAGCAAACTTAACTTGCTTTAAATCAAATTTGGATAAGCCATGGAATCCACAGGCATTGGATTTATAATGGATTTATCATTATTTATCCATATCCAACTGGATCAATTATTTCATAAGATAAATATTGGACAGGAATGATCAGGTTGTCTCTTTCGCAAAGCCAGTAGCAGGTCCTTGACAAAGGGAGTTGCTATTCGATCTCTGCTGGACCTTGCATCTTTGGCTGCAGGAATGGCCTGCGTCGATGGAAGGAGAGGCACAACTGGCACCATTGAACCATAATTGAGCCATTGACACAAATGTTTACAATGTCAATCAATGTCACTTTGGGATTTGTATCCAGAAAGTTGTCTTCGGTTGTCTGCTTCGTTTTGTCAAACCATATCCAATCTGGACCTGTTGTGCCCTGTCAAGTGCTGTCTCTGGCATCATCTGCAGTGCCCAGCTCCACCTCGACGTCTGCCGTTGGCAGAACACGGACGGATTTCTGGAAGCCGGCAAAGGTCTCCTGATGCGAAACTCTGGACAGGTCGAGACCCCGAGAGGTCGTCATCCGCACCAAGAGGTGGACATATGTGGACATCATTTTTTTTCTCGCCAGTGCTCACGATCGATATATAGTAATACAAATTAATACAATATAACACTAGATAAAGTCTATTGATGAACTGCTCCCACAACAATTCGCCACCAAGGGTGTCCAACACCACGGTAGAATCCCACTGCATAGGTGTTGGGTGCTCAAAGAGTCTGTGTCCTCTAAAACAATCCAGCAAATCTGTAGATATCTGTAGATATGGTCATCCAGCTGGCATTTGTCTTCTGTTTAAAACATTGCTTTTGCAGTGGTGCCCATCCCGGCCAGAAGCAATCCTCGATCAGCTCGTTGCTCACATGCGGTGTCGGCACCCTGGGATCATGGCGTCAGGATGTTTGTTGGCCGCGGGAGGGGCTGGGAAATTGGCTTCAAGACCCCTCTGCAAACATCCGAAATCTGACCAATCACTTGTTGGAATACATGCTGCTTGTAGTACAAGACCATACAGAGTCCATGAAGTCATGTTGTCAGCAGCATCAAGATGCATCAATGCCATATCGGGCAAACTGTGGCAAGCACTTTGGACTAACAAGAAGAATGATCAAAACGATGGGTTTGTCATGGTTCCCTAAATCCACTGGTGAATCAAACACATTTCGGATGAAACTATATAGCACATCTTGGGGATGCTCCATTTATGAGACACACCCATATGTCCTTGCGCCCGTATGCGGTATGGGATTGGGACTACTACTACACCAGCTACCCTTGCCCTGTGCCTGTCACGACTCGATCGAAGACTGTTCTTGGAATCATGGACTTCAAACTCCTGAGACCAAGCTGAAATTTCAAACACATGCAACATGCAAAAGGAACATATCCAATATATATATATATATGAATTACAATATGGATTATCATCGTATATCGTACTATATTATGGTAGATTGGTAGATGTTACAAGGGTCACGTGCTTTGTTAAGCTCGAGAGATCTCGAGAGTATAGTTTACAAGTACCAGTATGGCAAGGTTTCAAAGTTATCAGTGAACCCATGTCTCTAGCCGCGCAGTCGTGTGCGGCAGCGAGTGAGCACATTGATTGTGGTTCTCCTGAACTAGTCCAAAAGCATTGATGGCCACTTTTCCATCCTGGACAGACATTCTGGCAGCAGTAGCACTCTATTAGACTCTATGGGTGGTAGACTGATTGACTCCATCAGGCCAAGTGATGCAGTATGATGCAGTACAAATCCATATACACAGCATAGACAGGCATACTCAGAAAAGTGCACTCTTGATTGGGGATGATTGCAGGAACAGTCCAGAATCATTTTACACCTCAGAACTTCCGCCTACATTGACTGGTTCCAACATATTGTCAAGCAGCCTGGATACCTTGGATTGGGTGAATCCGCAGTTCTCCTTCTGTTTCAGACATGAAGACCTACAACCTCCTAAGTTCAACCTCAACAAATCCCAACGAGACCTCTTGAAATTCTCGAGCCGACGCATAGGGAGTTGGGAGTCTGTCGTGCACAGATCGAGAACCAACCTGGCCAAGCGATGATGTGCAGGCAGCAGTCGCTACAGTTTCCTGGAAACAAGACCATACAAGATCATACAAGACCTTATCTGGCAAGATGTGGCAAACATGGTTTTCAAATTCATCACAACTTGTCGCAAAGCCTTCAGGACACACCTAATTGACCAGAGACCTGCATGATGACACGTCCAGAGAACAGATACACAGTAAATACCCACGGATCCCGCATGCGTTTTACGCCTCCGCACCAAACGGGTGCAGTCCAGTGATTGGTGGCACCTCGGGCATGACGGTGTTCCAACAGGAAGTGTTATATTTTTGCTTTTCACAACCTTTAGTAGGCGGAAGTTCCTCAGCCCCAAATGCTGGTGGGTATTGGCATCTGACTGGTTCGAATTCACTCGACCCATCTGTATCCATCCATTTCAGAGAGGGCGACTATTGGGGCCCTTTTAGTATTGCCGAACAAGTTGGCCTAATTGAAAACGAAGACTTACTTGCACATGGAAAGCTGTTGGAGGTTCAAATTTGAGAAGATTGAGACTTGTAAGATTTGCAGATTCAAAGGTTTCAGCAAGCTTCAGGTGAAACAGAAACGATTCGGAAACTTGATTAACAACAACAGTAATTCCCGTTCAAGGAGACTTAGTTCGACCATGTTCGACCCCATCTTTACTTCGTGAAGTAAAACTTAAGGTAGCCCCACAGTGACCCATCATTAGATTCTTAATGCATACTTTACTATAAAGTACATCTAAGTACTAGTCTAATACCGATCAATATATGAAGGATCATCCCACAAATCCCCAAGTGGCTTGAGAGAATTTTACAGGCGAACAAGAGGACTTGACAGGAAAATCATGGAAAATCATGGAAAGTCAATGTTTTCCCGTCTATTTTCCTGGAATCACCTCAATCAGAAGCACCAAGAAATCACTCTGATTGACTCAGAAACACTGTCCTAAGCCTTCATGCTGCTGATGCCCCTGAGTGATAGACAAGCCCAGGTAGCACCTGCAAGAGGAGAAGCATGGAAAGGAGAGGAACCAACCTTTCTGTGTGAAGAATGCTCACATTGAGAGCATGAAGAATCTACTGATCTCTGTATTATCTCCGTATTATTGATTCTCATTGTGTCTCTATGACGTAAAAAAAAGTCCTGTCCATGGAACCAGTGTTTCTGGGATTCCCTCAGGCTCGGACAGAGGTCACCGTGTCGCTAAATTGAACCTCGCGGTCATCAGCCACGTCCTCCTCGTCGGTTTTGGTACCATCATAGTCATCATGTCAAAACTATCACTAGGGTTTCTCATAAACTCCAAAAAAAAAACCTGATGTTTCTCACTGCGATCTCAATGCATCAAAACTATCACACTTTCATCTTCTCCCAAAACTCCAAAGTGCGACTTGTGCTGGTCACCACTTTACCCCTGAAACGTCAGTCCCTCCCGTTGTAGAGGAGACCATCTGTCGCAAACAGTTCATCGGCCCATCTCCTTCACGAAAGGTGTGGGAATCCGATCCCTTGAAGGCCGACGCTCTCCAAAGGTTGGAACAGCCTGGCTTCAGATTGCCAAAACAAAACGATTATCCGTGAAAAACACCAACCAAGAAAAATTGGAGTCAAACTTGAGAAATCAAACACACACACACATACATACATACATACATACATACATACATATGTATATATATACATATATATATATACATATATATATATACATATATATATAATTATATAGATAGCACATAGCAATATAATATATATATATATATATATTATATAATAATATATATATATATATTATATATATAATTATATATATATTATGAGAGAGAGTATACTGTACTGTATGAACCATTATGAACCCATAGATTTCCATACAGTAGATATCTCAAAAAACTGGGTGGTGTCCAGCATGAGAGCCATGAAGTCATGTGCAGCGATGGTGCCTCTCCATGCAGTGTAGATGGTGGTAACTTCACTGCTAATAAACACGCAACCACATGTCTTCTCACCCGGTGAGGGAACACTGCACCAAGAGTCTGTTGCCTAGACAGTATCCGATGGAGACTGCCAACAGCAAGTGACATCTTGAGACGATACTTGCGATAGTTCATGCTACCCCTCACCTTGATGTCTGCAGCGTTGGAGATGCGGACATGCTTGCCCTCTTTAATTTCGGGTTCCTGTGGAGGTAAGGTTCGGAGAAAAAAAACGCAGCTGGGCCGCCGGGGATACAATGGGAATATCATGGTGATATGATCCGCACCCAAGGCGGCGAGGCGTTTTTTGTTGGCATGCATGATTCAGAAACAATTGCAATAACTATTATTACACTTTAGTTTGCTGGGGCATTTTCGCTTTGGAATCATGTTTCTTTTCCCGTTTCTGAAAAGGTCTTAAAATGGGTTCAATTGCCAAACTCCGGCTCAACGTGGTCCAACATGGCACATAGGCCCAACATGGGCCCAACGTATGCCCAACGTGGCTCAACATGGGCCCAACACGGCCAAAGATAGAGCAACTTGCTCCCAACATGCACCCTATACAGGCCGAGCATAGAACATATGGTTTTATTTCTTGGGAGCCAACACCCTGGTGCAGGCAGTTGTTGTCGCGAAGCGACCAGAATTATACAATATACAAACCTTACAAACCACCCTTCTAGGGAAATACTCGAAAAATCCATTTAGTAACAAACGAATGGTAAGTAAGAGAAAAACACAATGAACAGTCAATGGCGTTTAATAAACACCGATAGTGCCCGGCACGCGCTGGGGTGAAAAAGGGACATGACTATAGGAACAGGATTGCTTATAGGAATTGCTGGTGAACTGGAAAGCGATGAGATGAAACTTGCAACGAAGGAAACATGCGATGAATTGAAACGAACTGCCATGAATGAATGAAATGAATGAAATGAATGGAATGAATGGAATGAATGGAATGAATGGACTGAATGGAATGAATGAAATGAATGAAATGAACGAAATGAATGAAATGAATGAAATGAATGACATGACAAAAATGAAAAGACTGAAAGAAAGAACGCAAGAAAGAAAGAAGGAATGCAGGAATGGAATTAAGTTGAATGAATGGACTGGAACGGATAGAATGGAATGAAATGGGATGGACTGGAATGGACTGGACTGGAATGAATGACTTGAATGGAATGGAATCGAATGGAATGGAATGGAACGCAACGGAACGGAATGGAACGGAGGGAATGAATGGAATGAAAGAATGGAATGGACTGGAATGGACCGGAAGGGACTGGAATGGAATGAAAGAATGGAATGGACTGGAATGGACCGGAAGGCTGGAATGGAATGAAAGAATGGAATGGACTGGAATGGATTGGAATGGACTGGAATGAATGACTGGGGTGGACTGGACTGGACTGGAGTGGACTGGACTGGAATGGAATGATTGAATGAAAGCCGCATAGCAGTAACGTTTTACCAAATCAGCCAGTGCTGATCTCATCTTCCAAAAGTGCTCGCCGCCCGTCATTTTTTTGAACATTTTGAAGTGCAATTCGAGCTCTTGCTACAGTCCTGCGCGCTTTTTCAACAACTTTCACAGATCGATGCCCGCAACCGCGGAAACAGAGACCCTACTTCGGCGACCCCAGGAGCCACTTTACCCGAAAAACACAGGGTTTCGCGCGCGTGAATGTTTTCACCCGTGAATTCATATGCTTCCGACTTCCGAACTGTTACACGTCCCAAGCAGTTGACATGATGATGTGGTTGACATCATGAGACGTGAACATGATGACAAGACTGCCCCTGGACATTCGGCCGTAACTCGGAAGTTTTCGAACCAAACTTCCATTGATAAATATGTAATCAAATGAAGTTTCGTAGAGAAAATCCGAGTTACGGAAAGTGAACGTTCTCACTAACCAAAGACCATTGTGTCCAGTTGGCATGTGCCTTAAAAAGAGATCATTATCTCACACTCTCACGAGCCCAAAGATCATTGTGTCCAGTTGGCACCTGCGTTCAGAGATCATGAACTCACTTTCTCATTAGCCCAAAGATCATTGTGTCCAGTTGGCACCTGCGTTAAGAGATCATTAACACACATTCTCACTAGCCCAAAGATCATTGTGTCCAGTGGGCACCTGCGTTAAGAGATCATGAAGTCACATTCTCACTAGCCCAAAGATCATTGTGTCCAGTGCGCGCCTGCGTTAAGAGATCATGAAGTCACATTCTCACGAGCCCAAAGATCATTGTGTCCAGTTGGCACCTGCGTTAAGAGATCATGAAGTCACATTCTCACTAGCCCAGAGATCATTGTGTCCAGTGGGCACCTGCGTGAAGTAGAGTCGAGGTAGAGTAGAATAGAGGCAGAGTAGAGGTAGAATAGAGTAGAATATAGTAGAGAAGAGAAGGGCAGAGTATAGCAGAGCAGAGAAGCGGTGAGTAGAGTAGGAGTAGGGTAGAGGCAGCGTAGAGTAGAGAAGAGAAGAGTAGAGCAGAGCAGGGTACAAGTAGAGTAGGGCTAGAGGCAGAGGTAGAGGTAAAGTGGTAAACGACTCAGCCACGCACACAGATCCAACTCAGCGGCGCACACAGCCAAAACTCAGCCACGCACACAGATCCAACTCAGATACGCACACAGATCTAACTCAGCCACACACACACAGATCTAACTCCGTCACGCACACAGATACAA